AGGTGGTTTATATAGATAGAGATGCAATCGACAGTTGTTACCGTATAGTGACAGCAGCTCGTCGTGGTTGATGCACCTATAGAGACGACACACACCTATAGAGACGACATGTCGTCTATATAGATGCACCTATAGAAACGACATGTCGTCTCTATAGGTATGCCCATACAGCTGCCATTTCCCTCTTTAATTTCCCTGTTTTTGCATCACAAAATTGCTAAATAGGAAATACTAATCTGAATTCTAAATGCAAACATTAATAAGCCATAACACCATTAGTTCAATTATCCCCTGAATGAGAGAGAAGGTATGAAAAGCATCTCAAAATGAAGACAAACATAAGTAACCAAAACCATATGAGCTTCAAAAATATTCACAAAAACACACGCTTGCAGAAAAGATTTTGTGAGTTTCAAGTATCAGATTTATGAACAAAATGATATTGTTGAGACAAAAAAAAAGTAGAGCCCTGATAATACGTTCAGAATATGCCAGTCAATAACTGATAGGTCGGAATTGGAATTGAACTTGATTACTAGAGTTGCTTTGTTTTCTTCTTTCCATTCCAACTTGGTTCTCTCCAAAACCTCAACAACCTACAATTCCATTTCATCCGATATAATCATAATAATAATATTAAATATTAAATGATTAATAATATCAAATATAATTTCATCATAATTCATATCGTGTGTTTAAGGTTTGAAGTCCCTCCAAATCCAGTGACAACTTTCAATTCCCCCAGAACTGTACAACATCATTATAAGTCCATTATTTAAAATATAATTATGTTTATGTATGTATGGATATCATGAAATAGATGATGATGATGATGATGATGATGCTTACATCCACCACATGCATAACAGAAGGTGATAATTGATAATTAAAAAAATTGTTATTAAGAGGGAAGATAGAAAGCTTCAATTTTAATTTTAATAAATGTGAATGTGATGCAAACCTCCTCTGAAGTTAGAAGAAGAACATCACTAAACCTCAGCAACTTAGCAAGTGCTTCTTGTTCTTCAAGTGTCCCAATAGCAAGAGACTTCCCCTTTGGTCATGAACAGACTGATGTTCCAACTTCAACAGCATACTCAAGGGCATGAGTAATCAAATTTGCAGGAAGCTCATGAAATCATAGGCATTACAGAAAAGGGCTTTTGACTTTTGTATATTCCTCTTTGCTTCATCAGATAATGTTCTCATCCAAGTAAATGCAGGTTCCTTGCTAAAATCTGCTCGACTAATTAACAAAATCTAGGTCAAATATTGATGAATTATGATTTGTAAAGTTGGTATAAGCTACAATAAACTTGAACGAACTTTTAATTAATCACGTATATCTGCAAAACGTGTGTCTTTGTAAAGGATCCACCAAGACCCATCTCTTCACATAAAAGTGTCTCGTATGGACTATTGGAAATTTTCCATATATGATAATGACAGGAAGGGTGTGCAGATGTGCATTAAAAATCATCATATGCATAACTATTGTGAATTTCAAGTTACATTAAAGAGTTTAATCCAGGTCCAAGGAGCCCCAACTCTTCTTTCTAATGTTAAGATAATAAGATGATCGTGAAGGAGAAAACACAGAAACCTAGATAAAAAAAATAAGTCGGTGTAAATTTATAAATTTAAAAAGATTCCCAAAACTAGAATTTGATTTTGTACAAGTATGAAGATATGGATAACTATAAACACAACATACCTTATGGAGTATCAAAAATACCCTTCCCAAGTTCACCCTCGGTTAGCAACAATAACGTCATCAATTATGTTTATGGAGTACCAGAAACTGCATATGCAGGATCCTAAAGCTTAAACCAACCAAATAAGTAACTAAAATTTAACTTACATAAACATAATTTGGCATATTAAGTACAAGACTTGATAACAGCAACAACCTATTATATACCAAATAATAGATGAAAGAATGGACAACAATTTGAGCTTACAATCAAACCATAGTCACAACAATTTGAGCTTACAATCCAGTAAAACATAACAATGAAAGTTATAATTCGAAGACTAAAACCGGAAATTAATTTATGGAGTTGCAGATAAGATCATACGAATTTGAAGAATAAGTAAATCAACAAAACAAAATTAACAAAATGAAGTACCAAATTGACAACCCTACCAACAAGAACAAGCTAACTTAAACAAATTTAGTCATGATTCCAGTTAGAGTATTAGTTATAATTCCAATATCACAAGCACTAATTAAGAATATTATAAATGTCTACTCTTACATAGAGTTGAGAGCAACCTGATTAATCGCAGATGTTGCTCAAACAGATGCCAACTCTATTCAGGACCTTGAGTTGCTCGATATCTCGATATTCTTCCTCAACATCAAAATGAGGTTGTCAGTCATTAGAAATCAAATGTCATTTTAATCGCAGATGCTATGCTGGGGAACGAGAAAAGGAGATGGTGATTTGCTTATCGATGTGAGCAAATGGCCTCATGTGAGAGCAACTGTGAAACTATAGAAAATCACAAGTTAGGGATGAAGAAGAAGGAACAAAAAACATAAAAAAATTAGAGATGCGCATGAGCTTGAACGAACCAGTAAAGAAGAATGGAGATTTGCTTGAGCTCTAAAAACCTTGAAGGAATGAGAAATGGAGATGATTCAAGTGTTGACAAATGATGTGAGTAAATAGCTTCCTGAGAGAGAAACGGAGAAGATCGGAGACCACCAAGGGGGAAGGGATTCGCTGATCTGAACCCTATGGGGACGATAAGTCATCTGTATAGCCTCAACTAAACGACGCCGTTTTCCATTTTCTAGT